AAATTGAAAAACCTATTTTAATGAAAATTTATTTGAGAATGATGAATTATAATATCCTTATGATATTCAATAATTTTCTAGTATTTAAAAATATAGGAAAATTGCAATTTACTCGTGGTCTCGGAGTCATATTTGAAATTGTGTGATTCTCCTTTACTAATTCTCCCTAAATTATATTTTTTTCAATTTTTATAAACTCTAATTATAGAATTTGAGAATTTAGGAATTTTATTTGCAAACTTTTAGTTTCATAACTTTTTAATATTATGTCTAAAGTACGAAAACAGTTTTTTCACTGCACGTACTTAAATTCAAATTAAAATTGATGAAGCATACGGATATAAGTTTTAATTTACAGTGATTTTCCATAGGGTATGTATAAGGGTGTAAGTGGGTGAATTTTGATTAATTGGTAAGGTACATTTATGAATCTAATCAATGATTATTTAACATATGGAAAAGTTAGAGGAGGAAGAATCTACATGCATAACTTTTTTTAATAAATTTAATAATCAAGAATACAAAAGATTATTTTTAAAAATATTATAAAAAATACAAACTTAAATACATTGTTTATCTTAAAAATAATCGAAATAAAATTGTATTTTAGTATAAATAAAAATATTTTTAAAAAATTAAATTGGTAATATTATAGAGGATAAATTAAAATAAAATTATTATTTCTTTAAAAATGATTTTAATTTTATAAATTAAATAAAAAATTATAAAAACTAATTATAAACTATATTTAAATTAGTAATGCTTTATTATTAATAACTTAATATTTTATCACTTAATTCAAGAATAAATAAACAAATATTATTATACCTGATGATGAATGTCCATGTATTATAAAAAATAACGATTAAAATAGTTTTTAAAGTATTTAAAATTACAAAAATTAAAAATTATCTTTATTTCTTTTTCCGGCGGGTCTCTCAAATTTAGAATTTGCTTGACTAAATTCATCATCTGTCTTTTGACATCCTATAATTGCTTACTTCTCTTTCTTCACGTGTCAGCTCCCTAAATCTATTTATTTCATATAGACACTACTACAAAATATACTTTCTACGTCGTCATTTAACGTCGGTTATAGCTGAGACGACGTAGAAAGTACTTTCCACGTCGGTTCCGGATGAGCCGACGTTGAAAGTTGAATATTAAACACATTCTACGTCGGTTCTTAGTCAGCCGAGCGTAGAAAGTACTTTCTACGTCGGTTCCCATATAAACTGACGTTGAAAGTCTTTTTTTTTTTTTACTTATTGACACTTTCCACGCTCGGTTCCCATATGAACCGAGCGTGGAAAGTTTTTTTATTTTTTTTTCACCCAAAAACTCACTTAAATTTGAAAATTGTCATTGGCAGGATTCGAACCCAGTACTTTAGAATTCAAGACTAATACCCCAACTACTAAGCTACTAGAATTTTCTGATAATAACTTACAAATAAATTATATTTATATACAAATAAATATATATCCATGTAAATATATATTTATTTGTATATATTTTCTGGAAAGTATTTTTATTTTTAATTTCAGCCAAAAATTCTCTTAAGTTAATGAATTGTCACTGATAGCATTTGAACTCAGTATTTTAGGGTTGAAAGTTAATATCCCAACCACTAAACTATTATAATTTTTTGATGATAACTTACAAATAAATTATCACCAGTGGAAAAATATGATTTTATGACGACATTTTATCACGGTTGTAATCCACCCAGTCATAGTATATAGGGCGGTGGCATTTTTGTAATAATATTATGAACTTTTTATGTCGGTTGTTATGTAACCGACATGGTATGTGGGCAAATTCACTTTTTATGTCGGTTAAATTTTAACCGATATAGAAAGTACTTTCTATGTCGGTTAAAATTTAACCGACATAAATAGTGAACTTTTTATGTCGGTTAAATTTTAACCGACATAAAAAGTACTTTCTATGTCGGTTGAAATTTAACCGACATAGAAAGTGTATATTAAATAAAAAAAATTAAATATATAAGTATATAAATATTTATATATCAAAATATATAAATATATTTGTATTTATATATTTTGTATATAAATATAATTTATTTGTAAGTTATGTATCGGAAATTTGTAGTAGTTTAGTGGTTGGAGTATCGGTCTCCAACTCTAAGGTACTGGGTTCGAATCTTGTCGGAGACAAATCTCTTAAATAGATAATAAAATAATATATTATAAAGTATAATAAAAATATAATATGAATAAATAAATAAAAATCGTACTAGTATAGTGGTTGGTCTAATTCTAGACTCTAATGTATTGGGTTCGAATCCTACCTGTGACAATTTTCGTAAAAAGCACATTACTTATCTATGTCGCCTCTTTAACCGACGTAAAAAGCTCATTTTAACCGACATAAAAGCCTTTTTTGCACTAGTGTATATTGGTATTTTTCGATCGAGGGGGAAAGTGTGATTGACTCTTGCTTGAGTGAAAATATGTTAAAGCTCACGGAAATTCACTTACTCAAGTCTCGCTTGAGCGAAAATTGGTATTTTTCGGTTGAGAGCAAATAACGCGTTTCCCAAATTTATTTTATATCATTATATAAATAAAATTATAAAGATTATATTTTGTCATTAAATTACAAACTCATATAAAGATACACGCTCACAAATTTAGCATCAAATTTTGAAAACCCACTCGACACACACTTTCATTTTCGAGTGTGCCCTCACATCCAACATATAAATATATAACTATATAAATATATTTGTATTTATAAATATATAAATATATTTGTATTTATATATTTATATATTTACACGGATATATATTTATTTGTATATAAATATAATTTATTTGTAAGTTATTATCGGAAAATTCTAGTAGTTTAGTGGTTGGAGTATCGGCCTCCAACTCTAAAGTACTTGGGTTCGAATCCCGCCAATGACAATTCTCTTAGAAAATTAATAAACTTCTAAAAATATAATATAAAGAGATGGAGGACCTAATAAAAATATAATATAAAGAGAGGGGAGACTTCTAGATAAATAAAAGGGGGTAAAGGGGTTGTAAATAAATAAAAATTATTAATTTAAAAAATCATACTTTCAACGTCGGTTTAATAGAACCGAGCGTTGAAAGTTACGACTTTCAACGTCGCCGATACAACGTCGGTTCAACAACCGACGTTGAAAGCCTTCCAGAACCGACGTTGAAAGCTTTATTTGTAGTAGTGAGATTTTTTATACTACAAGAAAATTGCATATTTCTGACGGATTTTTATCAATTGATTTGTAGCCGTCGGAAAATAAGTCATTACCAACGAAAATTACTGACGGATATAGAGTCTCACCGAAAGATATATCCATCGGTAAAATAATAATTAGTTACCGACAGATATATTCATTGGTAAATCTGTCGTTAAATTAACAATTAACTACCGACGAATATATTCGTCGGTAAATTAACAATTAATTACCAGCGAATATATCCGTCGATAAATTAACAATTATTTTTATCGATTGATTTGTAGCCGTCGGAAAATAAGTCATTACCAACGAAAATTACTGACGGATATAGAGTCTTACCGACAGATATATCCGTCGATAAAATAATAATTAGTTACCGACGGATATATTCATTGGTAAATCTGTCGATAAATTAACAATTAATTACCGACGGATATATTCGTCGGTAAATTAACAATTAATTACCAGCGAATATATCCCTCGATAAATTAACAATTATTTTTATCAATTGATTTGTAGTCGTTGGAAAATAAGTCATTACCAACGAAAATTACTGACGGATATAGAGTCTTACCGACAGATATATCCGTCGGTAAAATAATAATTAGTTACCGACGGATATATTCATTGGTAAATCTGTCGATAAATTAACAATTAATTACCGACGGATATATTCGTCGGTAAATTAACAATTAATTACCAGCGAATATATCCCTCGATAAATTAACAATTATTTACCGATGGATATTTCCCTCGATAAATCTATCGGTAAATTAACAATTAATTATCGATGGATATTTTCGATCAGTGAATCTATCGGTAAATTAACAATTAATTATCCATCGGTAAAATATATAATAATTACTTAATATATGCTAATAAATTAATTATTCACCTAATTAAAAAATTAAATATTTTTTATTTAATAATTTAATTTAATCATAATTAGATTAATTTATAATAATTTATTAAATTAAATAATTTTAAAAAATAAAAATATAATTATATATAAATATATAAATATATAAATAAATTTATTTGTAAATTATTATAAAAAATTTATAGTAGCTTAGTGGTTGGAGTATTAGACTCTAAGGTAATAGGTTCGAATTTTGTCAATGACAATTCTCTTAATTTGATATTAATTCAAAGTTATAAAAATATAAAAAGGAGGAGGATAATAAATAAAAATACAATAGATAATAAAAATATTACCGATAAATTTTGACCATCGGTAATTTCAATATTTCTTTTAGTGTTATTATTTAAAAAATAACGTATTGACGGTCTAAATTTGTTGACATCCTTAAATCAAGTAAGTTTATTACAAAGCTAGTAACAAATCCTTTTAAACCATTTCTAGAACTTATTATGTTAAAAAGCATACGAGACTAATAGTAAAAAATATTGATGAAACTTTAACAAGTTAACTAAATTAATATAATTGTAGAAATCTCATTCTCTCTAACAACGAGTAAGTAAGGAATTAATAATAATAAAACAAAAAAGTGTTAAAGAAATTAAGGTAAAATAATAAAATTTAAATAACTAAATTTATAAAAAATTGAGTATTTTTAATAAATTGAAACAAAAATTAGAACAATTTCAAGAAATGAAATGAAACCACCAAAGTGAATGAAAGTGCTAAATTCTAAAATATTCAATTAAATTAAATCAAGAACCATAAATGGAGATGCTATGACTATTTGCCTATGCTTCCATTTTTCTTTAATTTGATGGGTTTTTCCAACCGATGTTTTCGATCGAAATGGTTTGATTTGTCAATGTCGGTAATTTCCTGTGTCCAGTCGATAAATAATTAAAAATATATATATATATATATATATATATATATATATAATTTGTGGGGTCTAGTTGGATGTAATGTCGGTCGATAACATTATCGAGAGATTTATCCGTCGATAAGTTGACACCTTACACACAATTTGTCGATAATATCTGTCAGAAAATAGGCATCGTTCTTTTTACCTTTACCCAAGGACATTTTCGTTATTAATATTCATCGGTAAAGTCATCTGGTCCGTCAGTAGGTGGTATAAAACAACTTAGAAAGACAGAACCAATTGTGCCTTCACTATTAGTCCCAACACCTCCTAGCCAATCCCCCTCGCCACCGATCGCAGCCATCACCACCCTCACTTCTCCTCACTCTAATCTTGCATTCTGGAACCATCTCCACATGCCGCCTCTATTGTTGCGACCTCTACCCCGGTTCCAAGATCGTTTTTCCCTCTTCACCAAAACCCTAGCCGTGTTACCCACATCGCGACCTCCACGCCTCTCTGCTGCTCACCCACCTTGGTCATTCCTCCCCCAACCATCTCAACTCGCGCGTGAGGGTTTGTTCTCATTTTTTCATCTTTCATTGCTGCGTTGATTCATTGTGTCTTTGTTGTTTGTCTCTTTTTTTGTTTTCACTTCTGCCTTATTCTGCTTAGATATGGGAATGACTTTATTGGTGGTTAGTTTATTTTGTTTGATACAGGATGGGTCAAGATTGAATCTGAACTTGATTTTAGGTTTGTGTGTTGTATGGGTTGAGATTGGTCTTATTTGAGTTTGAATGATACACTGCTACAGATATGACTTTCAACGTCGGTTATATAAGGCTTTCAACGGCGGTTATATAACCGACGTTGTATTAGGCGACGTTGAAAGTATAGACTTTCAACGTTGGTTATTCATACACGACGTTGAAAGTTTGGACTTTCAACGTCGGGTATGAATAACCGACGTTGAAAGTCTACACTTTCAACGTCGGGTATATAGAACCGACATAGAAATGCTGAATATAAACGACATTGCATTTGGGGTTTTAACTACGTCGGTTATGGTAAAAGCCGACGTTGATATTATTATTTTCTACGTCTGTTATTGACACAACCGACATAGAAAGTCTATTTTTTTTAAAATGGCCGCTTTGTTTATACAGGGTATCCCAATGTTTGTATACAATACCTGCAAATTTGAATACAACCCAGGCAGACAATATACAAGATATAAACTAATTGAATGTGCATCCAAAAATAAAATTGTATCCAAAATTACAAATATGTATCCAACTACTTATCTACCAAATACACTAACTACTAATCTAACTAATAAACTAACTACTAAACTAACTACTAAACTAACTACTAAACTAACTACTAAATTAACTACTAAACTTGCCTACTTCTAACTTTAACAAACTTATCGGCCCAGGTGTTTCTAATATCGTCAATGGTCTCTATGGGAAATGCTTCGCTGTCTGAAAATACCTGTTACAAGAAAAAAGATAATTTAACAGAGTATCCAATGACACAATATTTAATTTTATTGAATACTAAATTTAAGCAAACCTGATTCCATGTATCCTCAGTCTTGCTAACAACAATCAGCCACATCCAGTGCATAACATAATATCCGCACTCATAAGATCCTGGTTGCCTATTACACTACAAAAAATAATATATTAATTTGACATATAAAATGAATGATATAATACATAAATATAAAATTACTTACATTAACAAAAATCCAATTTGGAGTCGTGCTTTTGCTTGTGTGTACTCCATCAATTGTATTGCAAACCTTAAATACACTCGTGCAATACAAGATATAATGAAACAATTAAGTAACAAAACAAGTAATAATTGTTTAAATTATTATAAGAATGTGTACCTATTTACAATGTATTTAATATCTCGCATCAGGTTTCTTGCCCAATGAGCGAGAACCAAGCCACAACATTCTCGCTTTGGGCAAACAACCAACAACTGCCAATGATTTCGCTTACATTACAAAAAGTTAGGATACATACAATACACTATAAAATTTAATGCGAATAATTTCATACGCTTAAATACTTACCGATAGAAGTAAGCACCCAAGTAAACTTTCTTCCTTGACTTCATCATCCAATTTTGGATGTATATTTGAACTTCTTCTCTCTTGTTTCTCGATTTTTGTATGGATTGGGGCTCAAAAAATCCATACACATCTTGGGTGCGTTGTTGCTCCGACAATTCATTCATCATCCTAAAGTAGCCAGTTCAATGTACATTAAATATGACGATAACTTCAAATAACATAATTAGTAAATAAAAATAAATACTTACATTGTCCAAAATTGTAACACTCGCTATGTTTAGACACCGATTGCCAACTCGCTATCTCCACAGACATCGGTGTGGTCAATGTAAAGGGAAAGTTCTTATTGTCTATCCCTAACTTATCAACATCCCACTTCACTTGAAAAAATTGAATATACAACTATGGGACAACGAGATAGTAGTTGAAAATTTGGATTTTTCCGGGACATCTACTTCCTTACCTTTACTAGTATGGGAAGTAGGAACCGGTTTAGGCAAGCTGGGGTGGCTTCGAACATCCTACATAAAATAACATTGACTTGAGAAATAATAAAAAACAGATACGAGACTACATATGATAATTAATAGAAAATATATGCAAACCTTTTTCAAAATAGGCTCGATTAGATGTCTAGGCCATGCAATGAAGGTGCGGAGGGTCCGTCCCACTCTGTCATCACGTCGTACGTGGGCACAGGTACAAGAGCATAAGCATCTCGAACCTCTTCAATGACCACTTTGGCCAAGTTAGGTGCTAAAGGCACACTATGAATTGTAGAGGCCCCCTCTTCAATTGAACCAACCACCACCAATCGTGGTTCGAGATCCATCCTCATCAACATAAAATTCACATCGACTCGATTACACAAAAATAAGACATTAATTATTTAATATGCACATGAATTTTTGTCATGAAGATATCATCCACACATACCGAGTGGTCGATGTCCGCAACAACAACAACAACCTCTTGATTAGTAGCAGGAAGCTCTTGATCGACAGTATTTGGCTCAGGCACAACTTCCCTTAGTGCTAACTCGTGCGACGAGATGGAGGAGGAACATCCATAGGTGGGTGGGTAGGCTGTGTGACACCTATGGATGCTAGACTTGAACCAAATACACGCATCATCTCCTCCTGAACTCGTGCGGTAATGGCTGGTGTCAACGTCGCTGTCAGCTCTTCAACCATCGCTGGTCTCATCTTTGCTGTTAGACTCTCCTCCAAATTCGCCATCTCCTACTGGCTCAATGATGTGGTGTGGGTATGGTCCGATGATGGAGCTCCAAAATATGCTCGAATACCCACACCAGCTCCAACGAGCACGAACACGCCCGGGTGTTCCAGGCGTCCAATAGCGATAGTTAAGATATCTTCACGACCACGGGAACGAATGTTCCCTGTGTATACTGCTCCTCTAAAGAATCCTACAATTGAGCATTATATATTGTAAAAAAAATTGATGAATGACAAAGCATGGTTAATGAGGTTGAAAGAAACAAATTTGACTTACAATCCGCTCGAGCAATCAAGCGGGCCTCCTCCGATGTCATTTCACCGGAGGGCTTTTGGCGAGCCCTCTTCCATTTTTGATGACGCTTTGGAGGAGATGGTGGGGAAATTTCTTCCTGGCTTACACCGAGAAGAGGCTAACTCAGCTTCTCGGAGTTTAGTCTTCTCCTTCATCATGCGTTGCGTCAACAAATCATACCCCCCACGAGAAAGACAGGTGGGGGCCACATTCAGACCTCCGAATCTCCTTTCCTTTTATTCGCTTCTCCTGCAACATAATATGATATTACAATGTGCTAAATTAATAAGACAATATGGAAACATACCAAAGTGTTTAAATAGTAACATACCTCCCATTGTGGACCAGTCCTACTCCCGACAAACCGCTTCCAAGTCTCCTCATCTATGCCATAACGCCGACAAGGAGTTAATCCTTTGCTAACTGGCTTGCTCATTAAATATCCATTTTGAAGTCAATGTCGACTTGAATTGCCTCCACATTTTGGCAATAGATGACATGACTTTTCTCCTAACTTGTTTAGAGTTAACAATATCGAAGTGATTCTCGCAAAAACAAGCAAAATAAATTAGGATAACAAAGTTTAGGATCTAACTTAACTTAACATAATTTAACGAGTTAACAAAACTAACCAAAATATCTTGCCAAATTAAATTTTTGCAAGTCTCCTCCACATAATCCCAAGATGGATGCAAAATAGATACCTAATTATGAACTTAAAACGTTAGATATCAATCCATTTACATATGCCGACCATATATGCATAACAAGTTAAAAACTCTAAAAAATTACATACCTTTTCTCTAGCAAGAGTACCCAAGTAGGACCTAAATTGAGTGTGATGTGGTCCTGATATTTTGCCAGTCTTTGGATCCACACTCACAACCAATTTATCTCCTGCCATATGACGAATGGTCAACTTTTTCAACCGTGTGGCTTGTCGAGTCCTCTTTAGAGATGGGGGGGTGGAGATGCCGGAGGAGATGTCGCAGGAGATGCTGGAGGAGATGCCATTTTCCTGTTAAAAAAAAAGTTAAGTTTTTGCATAAATTGGAATATAAACACAATTTATCACATATTTGAAATATAAACACAATTTATCACATTTTTTAAATATAAACACAAATTAGCTATGAACACATAACTTAAATAGTTAACTTTTCCCCATATGCCTTCATCATGATCTTTATGAATAGCATGGACCAAGTCTTCTTGCATATCATCAATACTACTAGGCATCCGTGATGGAGTGGGGATGTTAATAATATCATCTAATTCATCATCTTCTTCATGCATAACATCATTCCCTTTTGCTTGGAGTACCACTGACCATCTGTCATTACATGGATCAGTTATATAGAAAACTTGTTTTGCATGGTACGCCATTATGAATGGTTCCTCCTTATGTCCTATCTTCTTAAGGTCTATCAAATTGAATCCCATTTCATCAGTTTGAACACCAGTATTAATATCAATCCATTTACATTTGAATATAGGAACTCGAATTGAATGTAGTCAACCTCCCAAATCTCCTCAATCACTCCAAAGTAACTCATAGACGCCATAATTGGGTTCTTATCCTTTGAACTAGAAAAGTGCATGGATGTCGCCTCAATAGATACTCCACTATTTTGGACTGTACTTTTTTCATCTTGTAACTTTGTGTAGAATGAGTATTTGTTAATGTCATACCCGATCCAAGTCACGACGTTCGTTTAGGACCATGTGCTAGCCATTTCAAAGTATCAGATACATTGTCCTCGGAAAAGATTTTTGTTTTAAACCAGCTAACAAAAGTATTATTATGTTCATTAACCAACCACCGCTCACTCATTTTGGGGTTGAGGGTCTTCAATATTGATTGATGAGCAGATATGTAAGGAAGAACTTCATCTGTGTTATTTATAATATACAAGTGTGCCTTGGTCAACTCACTAGCATTTTTTGATTGTATTTTTACCCCATGAGTGCCTTACCATTTATTCTATGATCATGTCGTTGAGTAGGTACACCCACTGCTAGGGCCTTTCCAAAATATTCAGAACAAAATTCTATAGCTTCTTCTGCAATATACCTTTCAA